AGAATAGTTTCCATCAGTTCAGTGTGGGGGACACTGTGGACGTGTAAATCCCTTTACAGGTTCCTTCATGTTAAGCTCCAGAGAGGAGCAAAGGGGACGAGGAACGTGGGACTTTATGAAGGAGCGAAAGGAGCACTGGTGGCAAGGTGGCAACTCCCTTTCCCAGGACGCAGTGGCAGAGGCTCTCGCCTAGGGGTCTGGAGACCTGGGTGCCGGTCCCAGCTCGGCCGCTAACCCGGCTGTGTGATTTGGGGCAATTTTATCCCCCTCTCTGGGCCTCAGTGTCCACTTCCAACTCTGACAGAGTCTGCGTCTAAAAGGCCTGGAGGAGAAGGAAGCTCCAACTAGGGGCTGCCCCCTGGAGACACGTCCACGCAGGCCCTGAAGAAGCCTCCAGCCCAGGGCCCCCTGTCTGTAGCCTCCAGCCCAAATGACCCTCGAAATGGCAGAACTTTGCTCCTGATTCTTCGCCTGGGAGCTCGGCCTGGGTAGAGCTGCAGCTGCAAATGACTCCCCATCACACCCGGGACTCTCCAGGAGAGGGCTGCGCTTCCGCCATCAGACAAGGGCATCTATGGGTGGGGAGTTCTTCTCTTCTGTCACACTATGAGCTCCTGAGGACAGGACCTGGGTCCCTCCTCTCTGACCTGATGCTCTTCTGGGCAAGGGCTGTGTCTCCCCCCATCAGATTGGGGAATCCTAAGGGCAGGCCTGCGTGTCCCCCGTTCCATCTCTGCCCGCTACTCCCAAAAGCGTGCCCTGCTTGCAATTCCCAGACACAGGCTGGTACCAAGTGATCAACTGCAGGTATCAGACAATTCAGAGTCATCCCCGTCACAAAAGGTTCCTTTTGCCCTAAGCTATCTTGAGCTGTCCTCTAAGAGCTGTTTTCCAAGTAACTGACCCTCAGCCTAGAGTGAGGGGCAGAGAGTGGGCTGGGGGTCTGTGAGTTCAACCCCACACCAAGCCATCAGAGACCAGGTCTCCTGGGCAGGATTCATTTTCCCTACACCTCTTCAGAAGGAGCCAGTGCACAAAGCCGGGACATCCATGTGCTGAATGTCTGATCCCATAAGGCCGGGCTTTGGGCCTGGGCCATGAGGGAACCCAGCCCCATGGTATCTAAACCTCCCAGAAGGCTTCTGACTCAGCTCTGTCCATGGGCCCTAACTTGAGGTCCTGGCCTCACTTTTCTCATCCGTGACATGGGTCCAATGAGCTTTCCTCTCCCCCGAGCTGAAGGGACCGGCTTCCCAAGGTAGTTTCTTCCTGCTGCCAGTCTATCTCCAAAAAAGAGAGCAAGCATGGGCACCTCTGGGGCAGGAGGACAGCGCGACTGGTTAAGATCTCAGGCTGCAGAGACGTGGGTTTGAATCCTGGCTCTACCCCTCCAGTAGATCAGTTTATAGGAAGCACTCAGGACAGCCTGAGTCATGGGGGCTCAGGGTGTTAGCTGTCCTTGTCAACATCAGTATTAGACATATTGCATGACTTGCTTTTTAATTCAGTTTATTACCTGTCTGCCCTCACACTGCCAGCTCCACCAGGGTGGGGCTCTCCACCCCTCATGGCCACTGATTTATGCCTAGAACAGTGCCTGGCACACACAGGCACTCCATAACTATTAGTTATATTAGAGCCAGGGGGCAGGTGCAGAGCTGAGATGGCTTTTCTGTGAGATTCTGCTGGGCAGCCTCTCCGTGGAGTCCCTGAGGCTGGGCAGCACCCACTTCCCAGGCCAGGCCTGAGACGAGGACCCGGGTCAACCCCTAGGAGGAGGCACATCTTCCCCAGGGAGCAGCAAGCCGGCCACTGTGATGAGCAGATGCTCTGCAGAGCCCCAACTTCATCTCCCAGCGTGGTCCCCTTGGCCTTTCGTAAGAACAAGGGCCAAGGCTATCTGGGTGATGGTGGCAGGGACCTGCAGTCCTGGGTGAGGGGACATGTGCCGGCCCCACAGCCCAGGACGAAGCCCCATCCCCTGCTGGGTGAGCCACGGAGAAACCCCTCCTGCTGACGAGACAGGACGTGGGAAGTGGGTCTGTCTTGGTGGAGACCGCCCACCCCCACCCCTCCCAAGACCACACAGATATGCTGAAGACGTACAGTCAGCCTGCTCAGACGGAGGAGAAAGTGTATGGGGAGTCGGAGCTCAGAAATGCCAGGAACTTTTGTACAAGACCCAGAAACAGCCCCCTCGCTGCCCCCTTCCTTCAGGAAGTGTTCCCAGCTTAACCCTGGCGGTTCACATGCACAGAAGCACACACGGCCCCCGCATGTCTGCCCTGTGAGCAGCCCCCTCCCCCTCCAGCAGCTGTTCACCTCCTGGTCCCCTCTGCCCCTGTCAGACCCTCATCTGTCTTCACACCTTTGGTGGGAACCTCTGGGCGAGCCTCCGACGTTCGCCCAATCCATCATGCCCCCACAGCCTCTCCGCCCTGAGGAACGGGGAGGAAGCCTCTGGAGGGTCTCTCAGAGGAGGGGCGAGGGTCCGACTCAGGCGGGAAGGAGGTCAGGCTTGATCTGGCTGCTCTGAGTAGTGGGTCAGTGTCTCTTCTCTCTCTCCCCAAGGCTCATCTCTGGGCACAAACAGTGCACGGAACATCCACACTCTTTACTCCCACTGCTGAATCACGCTCCAGAAGCCAGGGGCCCCTTATCTGCTAGTGTCTCCTCTGCCCTGTGACAAAGTGCTGCTGTGGGATAAACCTCAGCCCACATCGAGAGGGGAGGGCTGGGAAGAGCAGCGGTCAGGGAACCAGGGGCCCTGGCCTCTCAGCCCTGGCCCGGCCAGTGTGTCCTGGGCCCTCCATCTGGCTGGCCCACATAATCTCCACGGCCCTCTTCAGCTTTCCATGTGATGCTCCTCTAACTTGCTTTGTACCATAAGGCCAGGCCTGGACCACATTCTCGGGTGTGGACACCTCAGTCTCTGCAGCCACCCTCACCCAGCCGTCTCTGGGATCCTGTGGTGTCTGTCTCCTGACCCTGGAAGGTTAGCTCGGCCAGTTAGTCCTTGGCACTCATGAGATGGAGGTCACGGCCTTGAACCCCAAAGAGGCCAATTAGATTGCACTGGGAGAACATTCCAGTCTGCAGGCTGCATCGCCCCCCATAACGTGAGCCCCACGAGGACTTGGCGCATCATGGTTAGGAGCTCTGCATGCAGCTGCCTACGTTTACCGGGCACTCCACTCTGCACCAGACCTGGGCTAAGGGCTTTACGTGGATCGACTCAATCTCCAACAACCCTGCAAGATAGGTGCTGGCATCAGCCCCATTTCACGGATGAGAAAATCGAGGCAGAGAAAGGAGAAGGGATCTTACCCACAAGTAAACGATGGAACTGAAATGCAGTCAGCCCTCAACTACACACATTAATAGAGGCAAACAGGAACGAGCCCCAAATGTGCAGGAAATTAACATCCTTGGGAAGGTTTTAGACCAGGGGGTAGCGATTGCTTTCGGTAAGGGCCAGACAGTAACTATTTTAGGCTTTGTGGGCCATGTGGTCTCTTTTTGAAACTACCTAACTCTGTGGCTGTAGTGCAGAAGTGGCCATAAGTACGTAAATGGATGGGTGTGGCTGTGTTTGAATAAAATTTTATTTACAAAAACAGGTAGCTGGAATGACGTGGCCCCAGGGATGTAACTGACCTCCCCTTTGGCCTCTTTTTTCCTTCAGGTAACAGGTTTCTCGTACTTAATAATATAATTTATTGTCCTGGCAAAGGGAGGAGGGGGGCAAGAGCACTGATGTTTATTAGGCCCATATTTTGTACCGGCTCTGTGCTGGGCGCTTTGAACAGTTAGCACGTTGAACGCAGAGAACACCCACCCTTCTTAGGAGGTTGCAACAGTCTTTGTGTAACCACTTTTTGTGTAATGGGGTAAACTGAGGCTCAGAGATGCCAGCTTGCCTAACACCCTGAGTGGCGGGGCTGAGATTTCAGCCCCCTCCAGGCCTTCGCCTGTTCTCCCGCCCTACAGCTGTTCACTTCAGTTTGCATCACTCGTATTCTCACCCCAGACGTGAGGGAGGTGTCTCAGAAGGTGGGAGGCAGAGCAAAAGCAGTCCTGGATTTAATTCCTTCCCCTGTGGGTACTGGAGACCGTGCCTAGTGATAAAAATGAACTCATCGGTTCCTCAAATTTGCTGGAACTTCCAGTGTCACTGAGTCCTGTTCCCCAAACCCACCAATGACCACCATCAGCCGGTAACCACCAGCCAATAACCCCTATCAGCCCCAACTTTGTCTTCCTGACTTCATCCAAAGAAGGTCCCACAACTTCTAACGGCACCATCGGGCAATGAGTGACTTAACCAGCAACCAGTCACACGTGAGTGAACAGAGTTCCAAGACCCAGTGGGAGTCGAGCTCCCGTCTAGAACCCCAGCTGCAGTTCTCTCCACCAATGGGATGCGGTTCTGCCCTTCCCTCATGGGTCACTCCTGGTGAAAGGCGGGAGATGGAGCACAGGATGGAACGCAGGAAGGACTCCTGATTCTAGAACAAAGCCCCAACCACAGTCAGCGTCCCGCAGGAAATGGTGCAACACTTCCACCAATGCACTGCCTGAAAATGCCCGACTTTTATGGACTGAACCGCCATGAGGTGGGGGGTGGGCCAGTTTCACAAGCTCTGGGTGGCTTTCGGGCCAGCAGCAAGTCTATAATACAGTATCTGTTGTTTCTGGGTGGCAAGAAGCATGGAAACCTGTTACGGAAACCCTTTTGCCACACCCGCCCGCTGGGTCGCCCAGGGCTGCAGCTTGAAGAAGGTAAACCCGGGGTGGAGGGTCACAGAACACTGACAAGTGACGGAGCAAGGAGCATCCTCTCCTCCCCCTTCAACCCTCGCAAGGTACCAACAGCCAGCAGTTTTGTGGAGACCAGCAAATTCTTCCCCAAGGAAGAGCCAACCTGTGTCACGCGTAGCCCAGACTGGCTGGGCAGTGTCTGGCGATGGGACCCCGGGCAGAGGGGCCAGGCCACCCACCTGAGGAGACAGGCCGTTGCTGACGGGGTTCATGTGGTTGGAGGGCGCTGCCGGGTTCATGAAGCTGTCGGAGTAGCTGGAGAAACTGTGGCGGGCTCCGTAGGCAGAGCTGGTGTCAGCGGCCGCGGCTGCCGCAGCCAGGCCCCCCTGGTGCATGGTGGACGGCGGGAGGGGCTGGGGCCGGTGCACAGTGCTGCCCCCGTCTGTGGAGAGACCCAGGGGAGAGCCTGAGCAAGTGGCAGGCTCCTCTCCTGTCTGGAGAGGAGCCATGAGCCTCCTTCTCCGTCTCCATGCCCTGGAGGGACGCTACTTGGGATGGGACAAGCTGGCTTCTGGACAGGGCACTAGGGACTGGCCAGGTCCTGAATGACAGCCAACCAACATTCTGGATGACTTCTGGGCAACTGCCCGCCGGCCCTGTTGCTCAGTGCTTGGCACACAGTAGGTGCTCAATAAATGTGATCTGGACTGAAAGTCAGTCTTTGCTGGGGACTCTGGTAACCCATGCAGTCCAGGCCTGATCCGACGGCACCTTGCCAGGTGCTTTTACAAATGCTGTCTAAGGGTACAAAGCAAGAATATGATTCCCATTGTACAGATGAAGAAACTGAGGCTTGAGGGGGTCGGGGCACTTGTGCAAGGTGACAAAGCTAGTGAGTGGTGGGGCGAGGGTCTGGACTGCCATTTCTGTTCTCAGCTGCTGTTCTGCTCTGTCAGGGCCCCCTCCACACAGCCTTCCACGCAATGGATGGGACCGTCATCCTTGGCAACAGTTCAGTTTCTCCTTGAGAATCATAAGGAGGGTCCCCTGCCCCTCTCCTCAGCCTCCAGAGCTGCAGCCTGCCAGCCCTTTGAGAGGAGGCCACGGGGCTTCTTCACGAGACAGATGCCAAGGAGCAGGATTCCTAATGTGTGCTAGGGGGCGGAGAGGAGGGGGAGGGCAGAATGGGGGGCAGGATCCAGGAAGAGTGGAGAGGAACCCTCTCCCAGCACAAAGCTCGCCATCTCTTCTGCATTTTAATAAGACCCCAGGAGGTTCATGTGACTTTACAGTTTAAGGAGCTCTACACGTGGATATGGAGGCGACCTTGCTGATCCCCTGGGGATGCTCTGTGGCTCATTGGCAAAGCCAAGAAGTTCAAGGGTAGGACCTCATCTTTTTTGTCCTAATAGCCTGCCCACACGAAAGCAGACGAACGGTCATAAAATAATAACTCGTTATTCCTTCTTTGTAGGGAAGGGAGGAATGGACGGGGCGAGGAGAAGGATGGAAGGGCATCGCCGAGACGCCAGGACGGGGCTCGGGCACTCACCTTGGGAGATGGTGGGGGTGGGGTAGGTGGAGTCCGGCAGCTGGTAGGGGGGCAGCGTGGGCATGCCGGTGGGCGGGAAGCCCCCTGGCAGAAGGTGGTTGAACGCTGCCAGCTGGTTGGCTCCTGCCTGCTTACGCCAACGGGCGCGGCGGTTACTGAACCAGACCTGAGGGATGGAGAGCAGAGAATGGAGGCCCTCAGCCTGGCTCCTGGCGGAGAGTGAGACAGAGCTAGAACCCGTCCCCGAGAGTCACCCTCCTGTCCAGCCGGCATCCTCCTCCACGGGACGAAATCCCGCCTCTGTGCAGCTCAGGGCAGTTTGCAGAGTGCTGTCAGGGGCGTGATCCCATTCTGTCCTCCTGACCTTCCAGTGAGGGGGTTATTGTCATCATCCCCTTTATACAGATGAGCAAACTGAGACCCGGAGAGAGTGGGTGACTTGCCCACGTGACGGGGTGGTTGAAACTTTAGTCTGAGTTCCTAGAATCTGCTTGTCTGGATTTACAAGTTCCCTGGGAGAGGCCAGAGAAAGAGGAGAATGAGGGTGCAAAACGGGGGCTTCCCTGAGGGGGCTCTTGTCACCTTTGGGATTTGCACATGCTGTTCCCTCTAACCTGCACACTCTTCCTGCAGCTAGCTCCTCGGCCTGCAGGGCTCGTCTGAAATGCCTCCTCCTGCTCCCATTCCCTAATGGCTGCATTGAAGGCGGTTCAGGCAGGTTCCCGCCTCCTCTCAGGAGGCCTCCGGCTTGTGAGCTTCCTGACACAAGCCATCATTCTATTGACTTGTTTCTCGGCGATGTTTCTCCTTGTCTCCCCTTCTGTGCATCTTTGCTCACTGCTTGCTCTCCCATAGGCGCCCACCCAATACTTGTTGAATGAAGGAATGAATGAATTAATGAAGGAATGAATAAACAAGGGAAGGCAGAGATGGCTCTATTGTGTCTTTACTGATGCGGAGGCCACAGGGCTCAGTTGGGAGCCCCTCCTGGTGGGGTGAAGACCCCAACCTTCCCTGGCACCGGATCGCTTAAGACCCCCAAACCTCTAGATGGTGTCTGCTGACATAGGGGAGGGCAGCCTCGGCTGGGTGGAGGGGTGCTTTGTGCCCCTAGTGTGGTCTGTCTTTCCCAGGTCCCTCCCGAGGGGAGAAACAGTATCCAGCTTTCCAAGCTGGATGAGCAGAGCAGCTGGCTCTGATCCGTTTGGGATTCACAGAGAAAGGAGATGAGGCAGCCCATAAAATTAAAGCCCTGGCTTCTCCCCATCTCCCCAGGGCACCAGGGCGTCCCCAGGGGCATCTGGGGTGGGATGGACGCCCGCCCGTCAGACCGAGGCTGCTTCTGAACTGGCGAGGAGTGGGCAGTGCTTCCTGCGCCCTGCTAGGGGGAGGGGCGCACTGCTTTGTTTTAATTCGGCGTCTCCCAGGGGGTGGGCCTCCTATCACCCAGCGACAGAGAGACACCCCAGATGGCGAGTGACACAGACATCATATAACCCTGAACCACCTCTCCTCCAGGGCTCTGGGCCTGCAGAGGGGGAAGAGGAGGAGGAGGAGGAGGTCTCAGCTCGGTGCTAACGCATCCTTGGTGCCTTCTGATACCTGCTCATCTCCCTTTCCACACGGAGAGGAGAGGACGCCTCCTGGAGAACTTTCATCGTGTTGTTTTCTCTTGTGTGTCTTTCCAACTGCCTTCCTTTCAGGAGCGTGATATACACTTTTATTTTAAAATACATTGATTTTATTAAAAAAGTAAATAACAGTACGGATAATGTGCAAACGTGAAAATCCTGAAGACGATCAGGCATGGCTTACGTGTGGGACACGCTGCTCTACTCGGCTGCGTTGCAGCTGCGTCTTAGGTGTGAGTCACCTTTTCCTCAGATGAAGGGTCCGAAATGCAGCTGGAAGCATGCTTCCCCCCTCCCTTCCCTTCCTTCCTTCCTTCCTTCTCATCTCAGACCTCCACTGGGACTCTGCTCTATGCCAAGCGAGACACTAGGGATGAGAGATGACCAGGACGGTCCCAGCCCTCGCCGCCCTCTGCCTGGGTGCACGCAGACGAGTCAGGATAGCGGCTCTCCAGCGCAGAAAGCTCGGGGTGACACGCAAGGTGCCCTAAGGAGGCCCGAGGAGGGGCTTCCAACTTCACCTCTCAGAATCCAGGAGGGCTTCCCGGAGGAGAGGACGTGCCCCTTGCCATCTATTCTCTCACTTCTTCTTCCTTCCTTGTCCTGTTTCCCCAGGGCTGTCTCCACCCCAGCAGGCCCCTCCCTCCTCACAAAGTGCAACATGAGGGTTACGAGCAGGGACTCTGGAGCCCGACTGCCTGGGTCTGAATCCTGCCTCTGACTCCTAGCTAAGACGGGCAGATTCTGTTATCCCTCTGTGCCTCAGTTTCTTCGTAAAATGTGGCCGATAACGGCACCTACCTCGTAGCGGTTCTGGACCTGCAGTGAGTTAACACAGGCCAAGTGCGTACAGCAGCGTCTACAGTCATTATTCGGCTGGAAACCCTCCGCTGGCTGAGCTGGACGGGCTCTTTGCCAGCACCTGGTGCAAGCTGCCCATCTACAGACGGGGAAACGGAGGCTCCCGGAGGGACAGCGGCAGCCTCAGCACCCCCCCAGAGTCCCTGACCAGGGAGGGCTGAGTTCTTTGAAAGCAGAGGCTGAGTTTTGTTATTCATTCTTGATCCGTCCCTCAGCACCCAGCCCTGGGAGCAGGACACCGTAGGAAGCATCTGCTTACTGGGCTGGATACTTCATCCGGCCCTTCTCTCCATGCAGCACAGAGGAAAAGAACATGACAGACGGACTTGGGTTCAAGTCGCAGCTCAGTCGCTTATTAACCGTCTCTAGGAAGTTACCTCCCTTAGCTAAATCTCACGTTTCTCGCCTGCAAAATGGAGACAATAATATCGACCTCCTAGGATTACGGTGAGGAAGATAATGTATGTTGAGTGTTGAGTGCCTGGCAGAGAAGTGCATCATAAATGTTGTCCAGTGTTATGAAAAGATTTGGTTTCAGTTGTTAATTAGCGAGTCCCTTTAGTGCCTCCAAAACGCAGTTCTGTTCAAGGTGGCCTCTGTTTCTAGAAGGAACACCCAGGCTGGAGGATCTCGGCACTCGGCACAGGGGATCTGTTTGCCTCCAAGGAAGACGTTATGCAAGGTTGGGGTCCAGCCGCAGCTGTTTAAAAATGAAGGTTCCTCCATAGAAAGGAGTCACTGGTCCCCAAGAATGTGTCCTCCTGCATGACACCCCCTTTCCCACCCCCGACTGAGTCCGGGGTGTCTCCACCAGACATCAGGGTTCAAAGGGAGGCTCCCAACCCTCAGCTGGGGAGCAGGGCTGGAGGGAAGCCAGGGGGAGGTAACGCACTTGAGTTACTAGAACCCCGCCTGACACGTTCACCCGCTTACCTGTTTATTCGAACGTCAGCTCCGTGACAGCAGGGATCTCTGTTTGCTGAATCCCCAGTGCCTAGAAAAGTGTCTGGCACACAGTAGGTGCTCAATAAATGAGTGCCAGATGAATGAACCTGTAGTTTCAAGGGTGGTCAGAACTGGAACCACCAAGAACAGGTGGAGTTTTAACAACAACCGCCCCCCTTTATGGCACTTCTGTGTGCCAGGCGCTTCCTAACTGTGTGTGGGTTTTTTTTTTCACTTGTAGGCAGTTAATCCCCAGAACGAGGTAGACCCTACTATTGCCACCTCTATTTTGCAGGTGAGGAAACTGAGGGCAGAGGGGATAAGTCATGGAGCTGGAATTCACACCAGGCCTCTGGCTCTGAGCCTCTCCACTACCCCACCCATCTCTTAGAGCTACTGAGATAAGATGGCACAGGACTGCAAAGTCCCAGAACCAGAGACTCTTAGGATCCGAGGCCAGGACCTCAGAAGTATACAGCCATAAAATCTAAGCAGTGTTCAGGGGACATGGCACTTTTGCTTGAATACTTCCAGTAACAGGGACCTCACCACCTAAGGCAGCTCTGATTGTCAATAACTAAGGATCCTAGAACTTTAAGGAGACCTAGTGACCATTTAGTTCAATCCCTTTATTTACAGATGGGAAATTAAGCCTCAGGAAAGGAAACTGACCTGTTGAAGGTGACACAGCTGATGAGAGGCAGGGACCAAGGGGAACCCAGGCCTGTGGCTCCCAGTCCCGTGCTCTCATCCCTGCAGACCTTTATATGGGACGCGGGACATTCCCCTGTTGGCCCTGGTCCCACCAGGGCCTCTCAGAGCAGCCGTGTCCTTCAAGTCTCCTCTTCGCCAGGCCAAAGATTCTATCATTTCTGTCTTAATTTTTTTGGTCAGCCTTTGTTCATTCTTTAAAAACTCAACATTTATTGTTCCCTCCTCTGCTGGGAGAGCTCTCGGGGCTGGGGGACCCAGCCCTGACTGGGGGGAGAACATAGTCTGAGGGGGAGACCCCAGCCCTGCCCCGGGGAGCTCGCAGTCTGACGGGGAGACCCCAGCCCTGCCCCAGGGAGCTCATAGTCTGAGAGGGAAACCCAGCCCTGCCCCGGGGAGCTCATAGCCTGAGGGGGAGACCCAGCCCTATTCTGGGGGAGCTCAGAGCCTGAGGGGTAGATCCAGGCCTGCCCGGGGGAGCTCACAGTCTGAGGGGGAGACCCAGCCCTGCCCAAGGGAGATCATAGTCTGAGGGGGAGACCCAGCCCTATTCTGGGGCAGCTCACAGTTTGACGGGCAAGTCCACCTGTGGTGGAGGTCTGCCTGGCCCCCTCACTAGGGGTTTGCCTGGGCTCTGGCCGTTCCCCTGTTCCCTGCCCCCCTCCCTCCTCGGACCTTGAGTGACACCTGTTTCTGGGTCCCCTGGGCCAATAAAAGCACTGCCCTGACAGCCAGGAAATTTTACAAGGAGCGGTCAGGCCTCAAGGTGGTGGGAAGAAGCAGCCGTGGCCGCCAGACGTGGCGATGAGGAAGCAGCCAGGAATGTGCCCAGGAGGACAGCTGCAGGCAGAGGGGGCCGCCTGGGGCGGCTCAGATACCACCCCGTGGAGGAGGGGGGATGGGATGAGCTGGCTGCTGCCGCCTGCCCCTTGGGGTCTCCCTCAATGGCAGCCACGGGCCCCCTACTCCGGGAGTGGGGGTGGGAGGTCTGAGGAAGGTACGCTGATTCCTGAAGGGCTTACATGCCGGTTTGCTTCTAGAACTTTCCCTATTGCTTTCAAATACCAGGCTCTGAGTCAACTTCTTCCTTTTCCCAGATGGAAGGAACCCCGGCTTTGGCATCTGCCAGGCCGAGTTCCAGGCCCAGCTCAGCCCCCGTCCGGCTCTGTGCCCCTGGCTGTGTTGCTTCTGAGCCTCAGTGTCTGCACCTGTGGCGTGGGGGGGTGGCCATACCGACCCAGGTTCCATCAGGTCACGTGGGAGAAGCCCCGAGCACTGCGGCTGGCACAAGGTGGGGCCTGACAAAGGCTGGCTCCCCTCGGATGGAAGCGCCCCCCGCCCCGCCCCTCTGCAGGCCCGCCTCCCCACTCAGGAGAAGACGGGCTGGGAAGGGGCTCCCACAGGACCCATTCACCCCCACCTGTCCGTCTCTTCCTCCTCCACCGCCTCCCAGCCTGAGCCCCTCCCAGCCGGGCCCGGAGGCTCGCTCTGCACTCCTAGAGCGACTCTGGGAATCCGAGAGCTTGGCCCGGGGAGAGGAGGAGATTCCCTCCGCGCCCCCCCCCCCCCGCGAACCCCAGGAACCCCAGCAGGCTCTGCTCTTTCTGCACTTTCCCCTCCCCCAGACCCGATGAGGAGCCACACACTGGAGGGTGTGGAGGGGGTTCCACTTCTGCCCACCCTCCCTCGATGCTTCTAACCCACCAGGAACATGCCTGCCCAGTCTGCCTGCATGCTTCTCATGACGGGGAGCTCGTTATCCGTCTTAGGAAGCCAGGCCTGTGCAGAAATTTTCCTCCTAACCACCTCCTCCCCTGTCCGAGCCTTGGGGATTATTATCTTCCGGAGCCCTTCTTCCGGCTGACCCAGTGCCCTCCTTTCCTGCCTCCCCCCTTTCCTTTCTTCCTCCCTCTCTCCCTTGCCCTTTTTTCTTCTCTCCCTCTCCGGCTCTCCCTCCCTCCCTTCCTCTCTCTGAAGTACTTGCTGCCTGGAGGGATGAACGCGATCCAACAGGCCTCCCTGCAGCTCCTGGCTTCCCTGGGGCTATCCGCCGCTTGGTCAGTCAGTCAGTCAACCAACATTGGCTGCCTACTTACTCTGCATCAAGTGCCAGTGGCTTTACTTGTCTACACGGTCCCTGCTGCAGAACCCCCCCAGGCCCACTAAACTCTCGGACCCTGGCCCCCCACCTTCTCGATCCCAGTCTCTGCAATATGCCCACACCGCGAACACCCGAGGCACCTCCTCACCTGCACGCGCGCCTCCGTCAGCTTGGTCCTCTGGGCCAGCTCCTCGCGGGTGTAGATGTCCGGGTAGTGAGTCCTCTCGAAGGCCTTCTCCAGCTCCTCCAGCTGCTCGGCCGTGAACGTGGTCCGACTGCGGCGTTGCTTGCGCTTCAGAGGGAGGTCGGGCTCCGACTCCACGTCCGAGCCCTCGTCCAGCCGGTTCCCTAGAGCCGGGCGAGAGGGAGGGAGAGGGTGGGGACCTAGTGAGACGGAGGGGTGCTGTGTGCCCACCTTCCATCCCACCACTGCACTGATGATCAGATCCCTCCTGAGCACCAGGAGAAGGCTGTTTCCCACAGTACTGTTTATCAGAGTGAAGAGTGGGAAGCAACCTCCATGCCCAGCCCTAGGGGATTGGTTAAATACTATGACACAACCACTCTTTTAAAAAAAAAAAATCCCCTATAGTTGAGCATTTCGGTTATTTCCACTGACGCAGAAGGATGCATATATGACATAGGACTCAGGGAGTGGTTTCATGATGAAATACATTTGTCAAAATTCCTAGAACTATATTCTCAAAAAAGGGGGACTTTTGCTGTATATTAACTATACCTTAATAAACTTGACTTTAAGAAAAAGGCAAGGTACAAACCAGCGTGCAAAGATCAATCCCACTTTTGGAAAAGCGCCCATGACACATTATGGAACACTCTACCCAAAAGATGAATAAACGTTAACCTTCAGAGTGACAGAACTTTTGTTTTCTTCTTTACACTCATTTATAGTTTAGTATTTTTAAAATGATGACCATTTAAACAAAGACGCTATTGCATTTTGGGAAAATATTGCAAAACTAAAGAAAGGAGGAGACAGGAAAAAAGGAAGGGAGGGAGAGAGGGAGGGAGGGAGCAAAGGCATGTGCCCAGGGCTGGCAGTCAGAAAGCTTAGATTCCAGGCCGGGCTCTGCCTCTAGATGCCCTGAACTGTGACCCTAGGAAGGCTACCTTCCCTCTTCAGACCTCAGTTTCCCCATTTGTGACATGAGGGTTTGGACTACGTGACTTCCAAACACAGACCCTTCCTGGGATGTTCCAGGATCTCTGAGTGACCTTCTGGGCTGGAAGAGGAGACCTCACCTGATGACCTTGGTCATGGCCATGGCTCCCACCCCATCATCCCCACTAATTTCCACCCTGGAGCCTGGTGGTGGAATGAAGACCTTTGCTTTCTGTGCAGAGAGAGCCCAGAAGTCTGGAGCTAGCTTACTTCCCAGCCCTGGATGGGGTTATCAGACCAGGAATCTGCTCCTGTCCCAGGTCCAGGCCAGGGAGACTGCAGGAAGGGCTTGATCAAGCTCCTTGGTATTCAGGGCTGAAGACATCCTGGGAACTAAACTGGCTCCCCATTCCCATCAACCCTGTGCCTCTTGCCCATCTCTGATCCAGCAGAGGGGATGCTGGCAAGGCGTTCCCTAGCCAGGGCTCTGAAGCTGCACCCTCAGTAGCTCCAGGGGAACTGTGGGGAGCACGGAGGAGGGGGCTAGTGAGAAGAGGAAACAAAACAAGGGAGAGGGAAAGGGGAAGCGAGCAGTCAGAGATTATCTTCCTCCTCCCCACTCCTGCTTTCTCCCTTTTCTCTTTTGCCTTTGTTTCTCTCCCCCCTTCCATCTCCATCGCTGGCATTCCTGGAGACACATGTGTGCTTGTCACTCGTTCACTCCCCAGAGCACGGATGGGGCACCTGCCATGTGCCACGCATGCGCCAAGGATGCTGTGCTCAGAGTGCTCAGGCAAGCTGGAAAAGCCTCAGAGATCATGTGGTCACAATACAGATGGGAGAAACTGAGTCACAGAGAGGCCACGTGAGATGCCCAAAGTCTCTCAGGGAGTGTCCACACTGGCTCGGACCCTGCTCTCCTGTCTCCACCCCATTCTCACTCAATGGCTTCAAACACTGGTTACACGAATACGTCCAGTCTCCTCCCACAGGGGACAACCTGCCTCCCCGTCCCCCCAAAAAAACACCTAATACAGCCCTTTAGATCTCAAGTGGAGGTGAAGGGAAAAGTGTTCCAGGCCAGTGGATGAGCACGCGCAAAGGCCTGGCGTGTCCAAGGGCACGACGGGTAACATTATCATGGGGCTGCATCCACAGCCAGGAGCCAGGCAGGTGGATGGGGAGTACTGGGAGGTCATCCAGACTTGGGCATTGCCCCTCTGCCCTGGGTCCCCTTCCCTCCATCCTGTTCTCTTGGCCACTGGGCAGTCATCTCTGCCTTTTATTGGCCACTGCCAGGCAGTCCCTGCTCGTGATGCTGCCCGACAAGGGAACCAACGGCAAGGGAGACGTCCCTTCCTCGTTGCCTGCCTCATCCCTAAAGGCAGACATCGGATCCAGCCCCTCCTCTGCCCTTTCCTGGCTGCCCAGCTCCCTGTCACCCAGAGGAGGCCACAGCTGGCATCCCGAGGGGCGCTTCCCCAGCATGTCTGGGGCTCAGAGCCAAATACAACTAATCCCAAGGATTCATTTTCTGAAACTCTGCAAAACCTGTTTTTTGACTGTGGCCAGGAGAGTGAGCCCTTGGGGCCTCAGAAGGAGGAAGCCGGCACTGGCCGGCAGGCAGGGAGGTTAGCCCGCAGACGGGGAACGGGGCACCAGCCTCTGTCCTCCAGGGGAGACCCTCGAGCTCAGACAGGAGCTGAGTGAGATGAAGATCAGGGCCCTTGGTGGTGAAATCTACCTGCAGAGACTGTACTCAGAGCCGTGAGGTCAGACTGGGGAGGAGATGGAGAGCCCCATTCTGATGGAGGAGGCACAGCCCCGTCCTGGGAGAAACCCAGTCTGATTAAGTCTCAGTCTGGTTCTAGGGCAGGCTGTCTAATAGAACTTTCTGCGCTGATGGAAATGTTCTAGATCTGTGCTGCTCAGCCTGCTAGTATCAGCCGCATGTGGTCCTGAATACTCGAAATGTGCCTAGTGCAACTGAGCAAATGAGTTTTTCCTTTTATTTCATTTTAATTCAAATTTACATGGCCACATGTGGCTGCTGGCCACCCCAGAGGAGAGCACAGCTTCAACACTGCTCTTCTGTCTTTCGGACAAGGAGAAGGCAGGCCTCGAGCTCAGAGCCTTCTGCACGCGAAAGTCTCTAGGCAGAATTTAACAACATTCTTTGTTTTAATGATATTTGTTTTTATGGTTCCCATCTATTTATAGGACATGATACTCATTTTCCATTTATAAGGGCATTAGTTTCCTTGAATTCAGTTTTTTAAAGTGCTTTTGTATAAAGTAAAATATTAAAGAAGTAATAGGACAGGCTGTTGGGCTGTAACCAAAATCGTGAATGCAGTCAGCAGATGACCGGCTGCAGGATAAAATTCAGGGTGCTTCTGATCCTGGACCGTCCCCAGCCTCAGTGCCCACTCAGGCCCATGCACACCAATGCCCTTGCCCTCCTCATTACTTGCAGCTTCTAGACTCATCAGGGTTCTGAGTCTATTCCTCCGTCTCCCTGTCCCTCCAGCCCCTTACTCAGCGCGGGTCTGGGAACTCCATGGGCCCAGAGACACCCAAACCGAAACCCAGGCTGGGGAAGGCAGGCAGGGCCCACAGGTCTCTGTTGTTTGACAGGCACTGGAATGACCCTGCAGGATGTTGGCGGTTGTCATAACAACCCTTTGGATGCTGAGTGGGGAGAGCGAGCCTCTACCCCACTAGCTGGGAGATCCAGAAAGATCTTAAGGGAAGTGGACTTCAGGCCCCTGAAGATCTCCCGCCTCCTCCTTGGCCCAGCCCAGGGGAAGAGACCCCCATCCTAGGTCTGTGCCATTTTGCTCTGTGCCAGCCTCATGACAGGTCTGTGAAGCTGGGACTATCGGCTCTTTTACCAACAGGGAAAACAAGGCTCAGAGAGGTTCAGTAACTTGACGGGGGCCACACAGCCAGGAAGCTCGCGCTCCTTCCTGGAGAGCACGCGGAGGAAGGACAGGTTGAGAGGGAGTTAGGGGCCCTCCGGGGCAGCTCTGTTCCAGTCGGGAGTCCTGGTCTGGGAGGCCCGACATCTGGATTCTGGGCTCGGTCTCTCCCTCGCTGTGTGGCCTTGGACAAGCCACTGCCCCTCTCTGTACCTGGGTTTTCTCAGCTGTAAAAGTGAAGATAATGCATCCCAGCATGCGTCACTGGATTGCTGTGAGAATAGAATGGAATGAAGATTATGGGAGTAACTGGGAACCTATAAAGGGCGCGCGGAGGATGATGACGACGACAGGAAAGGGGAGAGGGTGGGGGTGCAGGACGAAAGCAGCGTGAGTGAGGGGACCCCCTCACGGAGAGCCCTGGTGCCGCCACATTGCCCTCACTTCAGTTTCCCCGGTGACGTCCCCTCCCCGGGAACCCGCCAGCCTCAGAGTCAAACTAATCAACAGGATCAGGTGGACTCGTTGCAGAGAGGCCCTGCTGGCCGGGGCCGAGTCCTCCACGCGCCGAAAGCTCGCTGCCTCTCTGTGAAGCCTGGGCAGCCGGCACGGGGGTGGGGGGGGACGGGGGGGGATGTGGGGAGATGGACATGGGGGCGCATTCGTTAACGGAGGCTGCGTGTGGGGCGGGCAGCGGGGGAGCAGCCTCCTGCCCTGCTGCAGCTCCCGCCCTCCCGCTCCCAGGCAGCTGTGAGATGGAACGGTCCCGAGGGGGTGGGACGGAGCTGGGGCTGGTCTGGAGATAGTCCTGAGAGAGAGGGACTTGGTGAGGGTCCCCCTCTCCGGGCTCCTGGACCCTGCCTCTGCTGAGGGACGTGGGGAGTCCAAGACAAAAAAGGAAGAAACAGCCCCTACCTTGGGGCCCTCCCAATCTTACGGGGGACAAACAGCCTCTGTCTTAGCTCCCAATCTGATGGAGGAGGTATCACCCTTGTCCTGGGACTTTCCCAGTCCGATGGAGGAAACACTGCTTCCAGATGAACTGGGGCCAGGACGGGCGTAAAGCACGAAGACAGCTGCAAGACTTGAAAGAGCCTAGAATGAGGGACAGGAGGGTGACAGGAGCCGTTTGGTTTGTCAAAGCTCTAGGGTGGGCGGGAACGAGGTCTGCTGAGGGCAGAGTCCAGCCCAGGCCCGGCTGATGGAGGAGGGTAGAAAATTGCTGGGGCAGCTCTCATGGGCTCCACCCCAGCCTCTGCCTCCTCCATCAAAGCCGCTGACCCGGGAAGCCTCAGCTATGCCAG